TCGGCCACCTCCTTCGGCCGGGCATTCGCACCCAGCTCGGCCGCGATGTTGGCTCGCTCGTGCTTCATGTACAGGAAGTACGCGGTCAGCGCCCTCTTCGGCGCATTGGGGTCATGCACTCGCTTGCGCTTGGTGCCCGCTACCGAACGTGCTCCCGGGCTCGCTGCCCGGCCAGCGCCCTCGGCAGCAGAAACACCGCCGTCGACATCTGCACCGCCGCCGGCCGTGACGCTCGACGGGAAGAGGCCGTTCTCGAGCAGCGAGTTGAGGCCGCCTATGTCGATGGAAGAGGGCCCGCGGTTGAGCACCGTGTTGGCGTGGTTGATGTAGGCGCGCGACAGGTCCGAGACGGCCGACTGGAGCGCGGCGAGACCTACGATGACCTGTTCGCAGGTTAGCTCTGCAGAGAAGAGACCCGGCTGCTGCGCGCCCAGGAAGAGGTCCTGCGCCGTCGAGTTGATGCGGTACGTGAGCAGGGCAATGGCCTGGACGAGGTCGAGGGGAGCTGCTGGTGATACTGCTGCTGATGCTGCTGTGTCCTGCGCCAACAGGCCCGGCGTTGCAGTGCGACCGCGGCCGGGCCCAGGCGTCGTGGCACGGCTGTGACTCCGCGCAGGCATCGCGAGGGCGTTGTACTCTGGCAAGCGTAGGAGAGTGTGTATTGGATGTACGGAGTAGAACAGAGAGAGTGTAATAATAGTAGTAGAGGGCAAGACAAGGGGCTGGTGGTGTAGCGTCAAGGACAGACAGACAGACAGACAGGCGGCGTGGGCTAGCTAAGGGGGCCAGCAGCTCTTGGGGGGCGCCCAGCACGCGGGCGTGTTGCTGCTGGTGTTGTTGTTGTTGTTGTTGCGGGCAGCGACTGGAATCACAACAACACCACCACCAACGACGGGCGACAACAGGCGACAGACAACAAGAACAGAGATAAAAGAGATAAAAGGACAAGGACTTACGCTGTCTCGGGTGCGCGTGAAGTCATCGATGCTGACGACGAGCGTGGTCGTGCCGTCGCCCTCTGCGGCCGGCTTCTTCTCCTTCTTCTGCTTGCGCTCCTTCTTGTCCTCCTTGCGCGACGCCATAGCTGTTCTTCGTCTCTATTATTCTTCTTCTCTGCGGTGATTCTCGCTGTTCAGCGCTGGAGTTAGTCGGAGGGAAGAGATTTTTTTTCTCTCTGGCGGGCGCGCGAAGGGTCGGCGGCCTCGGGGGCGGCAGCAGGGCGCCCCTAAATACTTTTTTCCGGCGGGCGAAGACAAGGAAGCGACGGGCCAGGCGGCAGCGTCTTGGGGGGGGAAGAGAGAGAAAAAGGCCGGGCAGGCGACGCTTAAGGGCCGGCTGGGGGGCCTTTAACTGGCTTTTTAACTGGCTTTAACTGGCTTTAACTGGCTACTGGCTACTGGCTACTGGCTGCTGGCTTTAACTGGCTTAGCTGGAGTCAGGCGCCCGCAGGTGTAACTTCTAGGCGTGCAGGGCCTGCCGGTCGCTGCTTTGGGGGGAAGCCTAGCCTAGCCTGGCCTAGCCTAACAGGGGGGCTGCGTGGCCTTTAACTCTGGGCTTCAGTGGCTGTAACTGGCTTTAACTGAGATTGGGGAGGCCTTGGGGAGCCTTGGGGAGCCTTGGGGGGGGGGGGCAGGCTTTAACTAGAGATCAGGCGACAGGCGTGCCCTTAGGGGGGTGGCAAGCCCGAAGGGGACAGCGCAGGCCTGAACTCACACCCTATATAAGCAGCGATAGACAGATATACATAGTACATCCACAAATAGATACAAAGTGATAGTCTATTCAATTTCTATCTATACATACACTTGCAGTCTACCAGTAATCATACAGTAGTCGATAGGCCTGCTCCGGTCTTTCCAAGTCTTTAAAATTTATACACCTGCTCCTTGGTGTAGCCCAGCTCCTTCAGGATACCAGTCAGCTCGCCCTGGTCCTTGGGGCTCACCTTGTTGCCGCTGACCGCCTTGTACAGGCCCGGCGGCCCGCACACAAACAGCTTGATCCCTTCCGTCTTGGGCTCCGGGAAGGCCATCTTCACCAGCTCCTTCGTCACGTAGCCCTTGCCGCCCGTCCAGCCCTCGCCCGGCTTGTCCAGCAGGTAGAGCACCTTGAACTGCCGCGGGTGCATGTTCTCCAGGTGCTCCAGCTCCCGGCGCAGCAGGATGTCCTCCTCGCCCACATTGCCGTAAATCAGCGTCACCTGCGTCTTGTCCGCGGGGTTGCTGAAGATCTTGCGGATGAGCTGGTACATGGGCGTGATGCCCGTGCCGCCGGCCACCATGCAGACGTGGCTGTGCTTGTTGGCCTCCCACTCGTACTTGGGGATCGGCCCCTTGAACGAGAGCGGCTCGCCCACGTTCAGATCGTGGATGTGCGTCGACATCGGGCCCCCGGGGTACTTCTTCACCAGCAGGTCCAGGTGGCCGGGCTCGTCCTCGTCGCTCACGGGCGTGTAAGGCCGGATGGTCGCCTTAGCGTCTCCTTCGCCCTTGAACTTGGTCAACAGGGCCGCTGTTCAAACCATTAGCATGACTATATATATATCCGTGTTTCGTTTCTCTGTGTATGTACGTACAGGCAATGTGAAGACCAGAGACGCTCTCGCTGTCAGGCAGTTCGAACCGAAGCTTCTTAACGTTATGGCTGACCTCCTCAACCGCCGAAAGCTTCAGGTCGACCCATCCCTGATCACCACCGGTAAACGTTGGCTTGCGGTCCTTCTTAATCGCCGCGCCGGGCATCTGCTGCATCTGCCAGTAGTAGTATCCTGCACCAGCAGCCACTGCAAGGCCGGCAAACAGCGGAGCCTGCGACGAGGACTTGGGCGCCTCTGTCGAGTACTTTCTGATACCCTACTCAGTTCCATTGATTAGCTTTTTTCTTCATAGTTATACTCTCTCTCTCAGTGGGGGTTCTAGGAGGGATGCATACCTGTCTCAACGGGCCGGCCGTTCGGCTGAATCGAGCAAACATTGTGATGAGAGATGGACACCAAGTGCAATTGAGATGTTCTTGGATGGCAATGGGATGCGCTGATGCTGTCTTTGGTTGATGGTGTAGTTGTCAGGAACAGCAGACGGAGGTTGAAAGGTGGGAATTAAAAGCAATCCATCATTAATAATAAAGGGCAGAACCTGACCCCATGACGCCATCCCTGCCGTTACAGCTAAGTAACTAAACTACTGGAAGAAAAGAAATACATGGCAGCAAATGATATCAACGATGACATCTCTCTACAGACGACAAGTTACAGACCGCAAGGTGAACATGAGTAAAAGTTTGTTGTTCATTAAGCTACAACATAGCAGCCGTTCATCGATCCAGGGCCACAACGGTCGATACCTGCACCATAACTATCTAGACCCAGATGCCATGTTGTCCCGTCGGACTTGGGGGATTCTTTCTCTCTCATCTGCTTCCAGCGGCATGACATCTCGCCAAGGTCTATCATCATAATACAGTCCGTGTCCTTTTTTCCGATCTCTCTTTTGTTAAAAAACAAAAAGAAAGATTTCCCCTTTCCACCACCTTCGACAGCTTTAACTCCCTCTGATTTTGATCCGCGCTTCATAAACAAAGAAAAAAACCCGTTTAAGCAAAAGTAGATGGTCTCGAGGCAGAGAAGAGCTTCTTGTTGGTGGGCTTGGCGACACGGTGAGGGAGAGGGAACTTGAGGCCCTTGCTGAGCAGTTGTTTCATGTATGGGCGGCGGATGCTCTCGGTCTTGTCAATCTCGACGACCTTGAGGATCTATTGCAGAAAAGTCAGTATTCTCTCTTTCTCCGCTTCTCCCCGTTGAAAGTCCATGTAACATACGTGGATGGATCTGAATCGGGCACGGTGGCGGGCGGCCATGTCCTGGTACATGGACTCGACGGCATCGGTTCTGGACATCTCTCGGTACTCCTTGTACATGTTGTGTGTGCCGGAGCGAGAGTCGTAGACAATCCAGATACCGAAGTTCTTGACCTTGAGTGGTCGCTTCTCGTGGATCTATTCCAATGGCAACCATCTTAGCAATCACAACTCTCCTCTGGATTCTCAACTTCCCGCCATTCTTTGGCAGTGTTGTTCATCTGGGTTCTTGCTCGTTCATACCACATTGACAGCAACGATCTCACCGCTGGCCTTCTTGACCTTGCGCATCTTGCCGAGGAAGTACCAGAATCTTGACTTGGCCACGACAGTGTTGGGTGCGAAAATCCTCATGCGGTACAGCTTGGGGGTGGGCTGGGTTTCGGTGGGCAAATGGCGCCCGATCACCTGGTATTCGTTGAGACGCCCTACATTTCCATGGTCAGATCGATGTTGCAGTGTGCATTCCGCTGGTGAGAGAGTGCGCATTCAGGTCTTTTTATTTTTTCTATGGATAATTTTGTATGAAGTCGAGGGGTTCGGAGTCGCGATTGCTGGAAGAACATGACTTACCCATCTGGAAAAAACAGTTAGCAGCGATTCCACGGGCGGCAGATCAGTACAGAGGCCTCTTACCTTGAGATATTGTCGTTGCTGTGGTCTTCAACGAGAGTTCGCGGTTGAAGATCGAGAAATTGTCGCTTTTTCGTGGTTCTTCTTTAGGGCTGTGGGTTTCGCTTAGAAGGGCGAGGCGACGCACTAGTCCGCTTTTGGGATGCGGGTCTTGGCATCGCGGAACCTTCCAACTGAGCGACTTCAAGGGCGACCTTGGAGGGCGACGGCGACGGCGACGACGAACAGCGAACGGCGATCTAGATAGATGAGAAGCAAGGACAGAGTGAGGACAGAGTGAGGAGAGACGAAGGACGAGAAAAGATGACAAGATGACGTCGCTATTTGCAGAGTTCAAGAAGGCTCAGTCTACGGGCTCAGGCGAGGCGCTGGCGGCAACGCTGAACCCCGTCGACATACCGCGTCTGCGGGCGTTCTACAATACCACCAACAGCCTCAGCGTCGCCTCAGATATCAGGTACGGCCTCCTTCAGGACCGAGTGACGGGAACAAAGCTGCCCAAGCAGGAAGGCAATGCCTGGGTCGACATATACATTGCCTTCTGGAAAGCTGCCGGAGAGCTGGTAAAGCTCGATGACCCCAACTTCACCCTGAGTGGCAGGGGAACCTGGACGGCTCTCTTTGGCCACTGGAAGGACATTGCAGTCCTGCTGAATACAAACTACTCGAGTTCCACCCTGGAAGCCTGGACTCTGCCTGTTTTATACGTGGTTGGCAAGTATCTGCGGATATTCGCGATCAAGGCCGATGCAGAGGCCGCGCAGGATCCCACCTCTACTTTTAACGATGGATTCCAAGACGACATTGTTGGAGACGTGAGCAAGAATGCAAAGCTGGAAGAGACTTCACGGATAATCAGCAGAATGTACACTGTGTGTCTCCATGACAGGTATGCATTAGATGTTGTTCGTCTTATTGTCCTTCCATCGTCTGGTTGTATTCTGAGTTTTCTCTTTGTATCTAATAGGGCCCCTATCGAAGAATCTCGTAAATGGGGAGTTTATAACACCATCAATCTTGCGTTTAAGACGTACTTCAAGGTATGCAGGCGATGCACTCTAACCCGACATTGGCTGCCCCCTTTTTCTTTCTATCTTTACCTAACAACTTTACTTGTCTGTCGTGTAGCTGGGCTCCATACCACCTTGTAGGAACTTGCTCTCCGCAATGAAAGCATCCCAGGCCGAACTACCGCCCATGGAATCCTTTCCTAAGTCTCACATCGTCACCTTCAAGTACTATCTCGGTGTCATCTGCTTCCTAGAAGAAGGTTATGTAGAGGTAAAGTGCCGTCATCCCAGGCTATCATTCACACTTATATCCCTGCTAACGAGTAATAGGCCGAGGAACATTTAACAGCTGCCTGGGAACTTTGCCGCGCGGATTCACATCGAAACAGAGAGTACGTATAAAACACTTTACTCAATATTAAAATATCCTCGTCACTGACCAGACATAGACTCATCCTCACATACCTTATACCCTGCCATATTGTTAATACAAATACCCTCCCATCAGCCCGTCTGCTGTCCAGATACCCGCGTATAGAAAGACTGTTTGGCCCACTCAGCAAATGTATCCGTAAAGGAGACCTGGCTGGTGTCGATGCAGCTATGGCCGGCAGTGAAAACGAATTTGTCAAGCGACGGATCTACCTCCCCATTGAACGAGGTCGGGATCTCGCTATTAGAAACTTATTTAGAAAAGTATTCATTGCCGGTGGGTATGATCCGCCAGTAAACGGTCAACCACCCATCAGACGGACGAGAGTCCCAGTCAAAGAGTTCGCAGCTGCAATGAGACTAGGCACAGGAAACACGCAGCAGAAATCCAAGGTGGACTTGGATGAAGTTGAGTGCTATCTCTCAAATATGATTTACAAGGTATGTACAAACTTAGAAACTTCGATATTTGCGGATTTGGAATTTACTAACGTTTGTTATAGAACCTTATGAAGGGATACATCGCCCGTGAGCGAGGAATAGTGGTGTTAAGTAAGGGTGGCACAGCATTCCCTGGCACTGGCGTATAGCTTACTTAGCTGCCCGTTAATATAATTAATGACAAATAGATATTTTTACAAAAATCAGCGGAAGCAAATTTATTCCACGTATCTACGGCCATAATTATCCTATACAGATACTCTAACTTGAAAACCAGTAGTGATAACAGAAGCCGTGAGATGTATTTAAGAGTTTAGGAGAAAATTGCATTAAAAAGCTGAGGAAGAACATACAACCTGTCCAATCCACTTGAGATAATCCCTGATCATATAAGAGGAATGAACAGTTGTTTGTGCACGACAATCGAAATCAAGCAAGACCTAGACACTTGACAATTTGATGAGATAACCAAGCAAGACAGACCCTAAACCCGAGCCTCAAAAACAGGAAACGTTATAAAGGGACATGGATAATATAGAAACACGAATGCGCCAAAGCCTGGTATAAGGTAAACATAGGAGACGGCGGAAAAGAATGGAGTAAGCAATACAGTCATCGACACACCTGGTCGGTCCAATTTTATAGAGATAGGATGGGTAACAAACGTATCACGAAGAAATGGGGAAGAAGAGAGCGACAGGAAATGAATATTGTACATATTAAGTTGTATGATGAAGCTCACTGGGGCTTCAGTAGTATAATTCTGGGTATTGATAGAGAAAACGGGGAAAAGATATTGTCATCTTAGATGGCAACCGATCAAGAGATGGTATCGTACAGTTAAGTATGAGCGAGTCGGCCGATGCATGGTAGTGAGTGATGGGTGGAGGTCTCGAAATGGGGGGGGGAGCTCAGGAGCTAACGAGAGAAGGGTGACTTCGAGGCATTTGTAAGGTCATCCTAGAAATGGATGTTAGCACTATTCAAGACGGAACGACAAAGGCTATAGACATACCATATGATTACACATGGCAACAAAGAGGTCAAAGAATAGTTTCCCTCCCTCTTCCATCTCCAGTTGCATGGTACCGCTACGCTTGAATGTTGACCGCGAGCGGATGATCAACGCAAGATAATGGGCTCTGAGCTTCGAGTCACTGTCAGGGGTATTTGCATAGGCGTATCGAGCACTGGAGAGGATGGTGCTGCATTGTATAGCTGTCTGGAGGCCTTGCTTTCGAAGAGCCAGCCTCTTCAGTTCGTCTAGCCCGTATCGCTCAGCAGCACAGCTAGATACATTAAGTTAGTAACAAAAGACCAAAAACATATATAGACAGTCGAAGGAAAATATAACTGACTATATAGCAGTGTCCTTTAGTATCAAGGTGCCATCGGCCTGGTTGACAATGGTAGACTCAGCTGAAGGCCTTGAGCCTGTGGTATCAGTGTCCTCCAGCAGCCAAGTATCCCGACGCTTGTTATGCATCAAGCGGGGGTAATAATCCCCCTTGTAAAGATACTCGAGGATGGATGAAAGTATCTCTGGTTGCTCATTTGGCAAGTTTATGCGTTTGGTATGGGATTCATAGAACTGGCCACGACAACAGGCAGAGAAGTAAGGGGATACACAGAGCACATCCTCATGGGCAGCAAAGAGACGCTGGTCAGGCCCGACACAAATGGTGATGATGGCGGAATTGAGGTTGCTAGTAGTTGAAACAACGAATGAGTCTTTGGATCCAGGAACAAAATGTACCGTTGGTCACTTACTCTGTAATCGGAGAGGAGTCTGAATGGCGGGCAGACTCAGACCTCCTCGAGGTACTAAGAGAGGAATCTTTGAACGATCTCTTCGACCGACTCGAGGACTTGCCGGCTCGATACTTTGAGAAGCTCTCGGCATTGCTGTGAGACCGTTTGACAAACATGATGCCTTTGTCGGTTTACAGGTGAAGTTCCGTCTGGTATCGAAAGTAGTACTCCGTACCCCGATAGATATCCTCTGTTTACTCTCTGTCCTCGAGTGGCAAACTTGGCTGCCTTGCTGCCTAAATTCTGGTTAGCAACATCCAGAAACCCTTCGAGTGCCCGACAGTTGAAGAGAGAAAAGCAGACTGAGATCAGGACGGGCGAGGGCCACTTATATAGCTGGGACGTCTCCATGCCTCAATGGGAAAAAAGGATAGTCTATGCCAGGATGTGCAGCAGGTTTTTCGTCTTTGATACCTCCACCGGCCGAACGACAAGGAAACCAGCCGTTACAGGGCCAGCTAGGCGTATCCAAACTGCGTCTAATCTGCATCCTTTTCCTTTCCTTGCTTTTGGCCCCCCTTTTTTTGCCTGCGACGTCTGTTTATATTACTTACTTATTACTCTTTGCAAGGAAGTCAACTTCTGCATAGCTCCGACGACGCGACGAATGAGGTCAAAGACGCGTCGCAGCCACGCGTGACTCACACGAAGTCACATGACTTAAAGTGGTTTTTGCAGCCAGTAAGATGTTGAGAATGGATCCACTTTGCCCAGAAAGGGGAACGGGCGGGATGATCCTTGCATATATAGTGTACTACATAACTATAACACATCACAGGCGGACAAACAAGAGCCCTGGTGTTACATGGTGAGCAAACTAGGCCGACAGCTTTTCCCTACGCCATATCCAACACATCAAGCGGAGCGACAGGTCAGACTCTCATGTACGAAGCGGTCGGAACTCAATTTTGTTACATGGATGGCGAGAGGTGGGATGGTTCCGGAGGCATGGATAGTTGGAAGAGGCTGCAGCAGTGTGTGTGGAGATCACTTGTCGATGCTCAGAGAACCACTTGTATACGACTACTAGGCGGATGGTTACTCGTATTCCAAGGTGTTTCATTCTTCACCGTTCCTGGCTGATGGGCCTATACTTGACGGGGGTTATTGACTGCATGTGGAAGTGAGTGGCAATGTACATGGATGCAGGTAGCCGTTGTGATAGCTAACATTCGGCCTGTCAACATCAAGAGTCTGTATCAAAATTATATAAATACATGTCTGGTCAAGGTATTTCAGACGAGTCCCGGTAAACGGGGCAAAGGCAGCTTGCATCCGTCACTGCCTCGAGGAAGGCCCAGGCTCGGACGTGGCTGTCACACTCCGGAGGTTGCCAAAGCTCAGCACATCACTGATCCGTCGGGCACCTGTGAACAGCATACAAAGACGGTCGATGCCACACCCCCAACCTCCAGTAGGTGGTAACCCCCACTCTAGTGTCTGGAGGTATCCCTCATCAAGCTCGCCTGCATTCTCAGGGTCTCGGAAGGATAACTGCTGCTGGAACTTCCGTCGCTGCTCAAAGGGAGAGTTTTCCTCCTCGTACATGTTCATTATCTCCTTACCCTCGACAAACAGCTCGGCTCGTGCTGACACAATCTGTCCACTTTCTGGATGGCGGTATGATTTGGATAGCGGGGACATGCATTCAGGGTGGTTCATGATGAAAGTAGGCTCGATCAGCTGCGATTCAACATAAGTTGAACAGAGTTTGTCGAGAAGCCGGGGAAGAGTCTCGTGGGCCGGTAGTGGGAGCGAGAGGTTTGCAAATATCTCCTTGACCTGCGATAGAGCATTATCGGACTGCAGGTCGGGTAATTTCCTGCCAATAGCCTCCTCGATGGCAGGGATAAAATCAACCCGTCGATACGGCCCTGTAAAGCTCACTGTTGTCGGGCTTAGTGAGTTGTTCAATTTCTTGTTCAGTTGTTGGACCTCCAAGGCTAGGGTTGAGAGCAGTGACTCTGTGGTCTCGATCAGGGATTCAAGATCTGCAAAGGCTTGGTAGAATTCACACGTGGTAAACTCCGGGTTATGCGTCTTGTCAAGGCCTACATGGACATACTGTCAGCTGTGACTCACTTCCCCCAACAATTTATTTGCCGCCATATGCCAGGTCACCACTCACCCTCGTTGCGGAATGAAGGCCCGATTTCAAACACCCTGTCGAACCCTCCAACTACTAGTCGTTTAAGCCACAGCTCGGGAGCTATCCTAAGTGATAATGGTCGATCAGGAAATTCGGTAGCACTCGTGACAAAGGGTTGGGCAATAGCACCGCCTGACTTTGACGCAAGGATTGGGGTGTTAACTTCCATGAATTCCCTGTTGGCGAAGAAGTTTCTCATAGAATGTGTGATCAGCGATCGAGCTCGAAGGATGTTGGCTGCGCTAGGACTGGAAAGCAGTTCAACATGGCGCTCATATGGAGATATCTCAAGCTCCTTTTGGTGGACGGGCACATCGTGCAGACACGGCGATATGAGCTTGGGGAGCTCGGTCGTCTTGACAGTTAATTCTCCTCGGCCGGTTCGATGTGGTTTGCCGGTCACAGCTATGAGTCAATCCCATGTTAGTTTGGGGGCTGCTTGTAATAAACGCAGAAGTTGAACCGCAATGGCGTGCTTACAGAAAGAGTCACCACGGCGGAGTAGATGGTAGAACTCCTTAAACTTCTCAGGGGATATTCCAGCTTCTCCTACCACACGCTGGTTGCAGAGCACCTGCACCTTGTGTCCATTATGAACAAGGTCGAAGAATACCAACTTCTTTCCGGCAGTTCTTTGAGAGCGTATCCTTCCTACAAGTATGTGTTAGTACGCAATATCACTATCAGACCCGTTTGCACTTATTATCATACCATGTAATACCACGGTATCCTCTTCTACCGTCTCATCCGGCTGTATAACGTCATATTTTGACCGGAATTCCGCACATGTGAGTGACAATGGGCTGCGGCCTATCCTGGGATATGGGCTCGACCAGGTCTTCTGGATATCGCTGACTCTGGCTTGCGGAGTTTGCTGAGTTGGGTTTGCGGCCTGTTGTTCGAGCAGTTGTCTATGGCTCGTAAACGTGCGGATTGGTTTCCATGCCGCTTGCTTCCCCAATTGCAGCGAGGACAGGCGAACACCCCTGGGTCTTTATATCAGCTACATCCTCACTCCCGCGAGTAAATAACTAAATAACTGTGGTACGTACCTTGCAAGAAACCTATCCAGGCATACCTGGGATAGAGGGTTAGAGCAGATGGATAGCATCAGCTCATCCGGTCTGCATTCCAAGGAAGTATATACAAGAAAACAAACGAACGTCGACCGTGGACTTGGACGTGAGATCGAATTTGTATGTCTTTTTTTTCTATCCCGAGCTTCCAGGCGAGCTGCGGCTGGCAGCTGAATCCGGTTTAGCGTCCTTGCGGCTTTCTGACGTCGAAGCCAAAAAAAGTTTTGAACTTCGCAGAAAGAAAACAATCAAAGCATCTCTACCGTCAATTAACAGCATCAGTTAGCACTCCTTCAGCTCCATCTCGGATTCGGGCCATTTCTCTTCTTACCGTTACCTACCGCCATTAATTCCCTGCGAAAATGTCTTACTTGTTCGGCGGTCGTCCCCAGATCTCTTCCGAAGAGAAGATAAGACAGGCCGAGTTGGAGGTTGAGATGGTCACAGACATGATGACCCGGTATGTATATATTCCTATTACCTTTGCTACGGGTTAATTGCATTTGCTTGTTCCCGTTGCCTACATTACCAATTTCTTGAAAAAGTACTAATTTGTCTATGTAGTCTTACCAACGGCTGTATCAAGAAGTGCATTCCAACCGACTACCGTGAAGGCGACCTAAACAAGGGTGAATCCGTCTGTCTCGATCGATGCGTCGGCAAATACTTCGAAGTGAACATTAAAATCTCCGAGAAGATGCAGCAGCAGCAACAGCAACAGGCAGCTGGAATGGGTGGTGGTCTCTAGGTGTACAACAGCGAATAAGCTCTCTTCGGTCTTCCTTGCATCATTCATCATCAATAAATATTTCAAGGCTCTCCTCTACGAATGGCGCAACATTGGATTGGTTTAGTCATGAATACGGTTCTTTTCTACGATGCGGAGGGTACAGCATTTTGGGGGAGTCCCAGTTACCAGATGGGACCATGTATACTATGTGTGTGGTGATACTTATCTTTGCTATAATATATTTTAACGACATGGACGCATGCAGTTATATGGTTCTCTTTGGGTTCATCGGCTCTATAACGAGCTCAATCCACGTTAACATTAAAATTTAATCTATAGGATGATAATATGCAAATTTTTATAGGTATTTACAAAGTCGTCCAAGGGAATACATGCTGTCTGTTACCTTGCACTGCCGCCAGTGAAGTTCGCAGAATTGTCCTTGTTATAGTCTTTGAGTGCCTGGGTTTGGAATCCGTTTCGTTGGCGGTTCCAGAGCTCATGCACCCATTGCATCCAAGATATCTTCTCAGCTTCTTGACCATCTAGGACGGATGCAGTCCTTTTTTCAAGATTAGAGATGACATGTTCATAATCACGCAAGACAGCCTCTGCATCTTCAATTCTTGAACGAAGGGTATCGACATCATAGTCAAGCTTTTCACTCATCATCTCAACATTCTTCGCTACTTGCATGTATGCGTCTTCTTCTTCGGCCATTGCCCCGCGGGAAGCTCCATACATTTCCCTCAACTCCACCAGCTTTCTTTGATACTCTGCTTGAGTTTCTAATGCCCGGGCTTTGACGGCTTTTTCAATCTTCTCCGCCACCGTCACTTTTTCATCGACCCAATTTACCTCGGTACTTCCCACTTCACGAATCCTTTTGGTAATATCCTGATTATCAGAAAATATTATGTCTTCATATAAGATAGCATCAGCAAGGCCCACTGTTGGGTCAATTGCCTCGGAGTAGATATCTCCTATCTCCTCCCAGCGTAGTAGGTATTCTTCAGCGTAGCTAGAGGATAAACGGCGTGGATAGGCTTTATCTTTCGAGACCAGACGATCCAGCTCTGGTAAACCCACACTTTGAGCGCGTCGACGGATCCTAGTAACAGGGATCAGGCCATGGTATTCACCGTCTTGCTTTCGTTCGGTTACTTCGGATCCTCCTAGTACCCCTTCGGCCTCCCTGAGGTCGAGGGCTTTGTCAGGAGGAGATATTTCTTTGCCAAGAAGGGATTCATATGTCCTTGCACGACCAAGCTCTGGAGGAGTCAAAGGGCTGTAACCTTTTTGGTCTACCATGGGCTCAAGTCGGCAAGCTTCTGATAGCGCCACACTATCCATCTGAGCAGAACCCTCAGGCCCTCCCCCATCTTTAGAACTCGTGCTTGTCGGAGTCTCCCCCATGAAGAGCTGTGGGGATAGGTTTGCGTCTAAATCCACGCTTTCCTTGGAATGTTTGTGGTGGTGTGGGCGTAAAGTTGGTAGCCCAACGGCATCCCTGAACCGACCGAGTCCAGCACGAGCATCAGACACCTTGTTGGTAACTGAACGCTTGAGCGTAACCCTAAGCTGATCCTTGTCATCAACAGCAGTTAGAGAGTCTGTTTGCTTCCTCTGATCTCCTTCAATACTTGGGCGATTTGAAGGGTAATCGTCTTTCTTTCTTCGGGTCCAGATATACCCGCCGCCTCTGTCTGGCGTAAAGATTCTTTCATCTCCAATGTCGTATCGTGCTTCGTATGGGGGCTTAGGCTTTCCACGCCATAGCCATCTCGCATGGTCTCCAGTAATGAGTTGTATGAACCGTTCGATCTCATATGTTTCAATCTCTGAAATGCCAGCTTTGTCCTTGCCTCCTCCCACCATCTCCATGACCATTTCTCCTCCTTTACCGCTAAGTTCCGCTACTGTTGATTTCACCGCCCGCTGCAAACCTCCCACCTCCCCACTAGCCGCTTTGGCGGTCACCCGATGCAGTTTTTCCAAGGTGACACTATCAAGTCTCCGTGTCCTCTCGAGGCTCTGGGCTTTTTGAAAGCTGTATATACCTTTTTCAAAACCATGGATATCAAATGGGTCCTTGGATACCGGTGCTCCGTATGCATGTAAGCGGTTTCTTGCACCCATAAAAGTTCCAAGAATTGCGGCTACTGTGGTAGGGCCAAGGATTCCATCAAGGGGTTCAATACCATAAAGGAAAGAACCAGTTTCGGCCCACCACTCGTGGATGGCTCGTTCTGTGTGATTGCAGAGAAGCCCATCCGCGTATTCAGGTGCCAGTTTAAGAAACATTACGAGTGCCAGCTGACAAAAACGTATCAGCTCCTTGACAGAGGTATTAAGTTCAATTTTGTCGCACGTTTGATAAAGCTGGTGGAACTTGGCTTGCGTATCTGCCGCGGGTGGTTTGACAGTAAGACCAGCTCTGCCAGAGCATCCTAGACGCTTCAGGTTCTCATTAACAATGAAATCATCCAGGTGAAGTCCGACATCTCCATCTTGAACAGGAATTGTAGTGAGCATTGATGGAAATGTGCTTAGATTCGTGACCATCACAGTTCCAAAGCTAGACTCCTGCTTCCGGGTATGGAACTGGTCCATTGCATTGAAGTAAACCCTCATCCGCTCACTCCATTTCTTTTCATCCGTCGGCACACTGAGCACACCGGCAATGACCGTGTGGGATTTGTCACCGGTGTATGTGTTGATAAAAAACGTGGGGTGTGCCCTCGAGCAAACCCACTGCTCAACAATGTAAACTTGGTATCCAGATATGCTCAATCTTTTGCTGATAGTGACTGCACAAGGATCTTCCTCCAGATATTTGAAAGCAACAGGGTCTGTAAGGACCAAACGCTGGAAAGATGCTTTCGATGAAACACGCTGGGCACTCTTGCTAGACGTCAGCTGCTGTGTTGGTGTCCCAGGCTCAGACTGCTGCGCTTCAGCGGCTTGACGGGCAGCATATTGCTCCAACCGCTCATCAACTAAAGCGATGCTGGTCGTTCCAGCAGGATCCATGCTCATATTTCCCTTTGGATTTCCCCCTTTTCTCTTTTAAGTATCACCTGTCAGACGGCCCGAAAACAACTGCACAAATGCGCCTCTCGGTGACGTACTCCCCGTCTGCAGCCAGGGTGTGTTTTTATGTTCTATTTTATTTTCCCCCCTGGCCAACGTACAGTCGCTGTTTCAGTCGGCCCTTTGCTGAGACGAACGAGTTGGCAGACAAGTCGAAGCAGCAGCGACGACAGCAGGCCATCCTCCAAGCTGCCGCTATTTCTCCTGCGGTTGTTTGTTGTCCTTGAGATGCTGGCGGAAGAAGCTAAGGCAAGGCCGATGATGTCACTTGTAGGAGCATTTTATAAGGCGACGAACAAAAGGGCGAAGACGGCGAATATGCAGGGAGATGACCGGTATCTGAGAGACAACCCATAAGATCAGCCGGCTAATCTCATTCCCTGGACGGAGCTGGCGGTCTTTGATATTCAAAATGGCTGCATAATTAGGTGTGCATAAAGTCAATAATAATAGCTGAAGGCTGCCTTAGTTTGAATAAATAGTTAGGTAGTGTTGACCATGTGACATGCTTCGGGCCTGCAGGCCTGGCTTTCCCGTCGAAAAGAAACGACCTGCCGCTGCCAAACATCTCCAGCTGCTTTCTCCCTCTTTCTTTGCTCTCAACGCTTCCTCCAGACATTTGCTGTTATCCATAGAGCCTTTGAGGGTATCTCGCAGTGCAGTTCAACAATCTGGCCGAGTTGGGATTATATGTGCTCTGAGTCTCAAGGTCCCCAGGCGAATATGAGTACCTTTCTCCGCAGTTAGCCAGAGGACGACCACACTCACGATGGATCAGGTCCAGAAAGAACATCAGCGCCTCTGGAAGAAGGCCCAGGCCTCCAAGTGCATCAACGATGTTCAGGCAACTATTGACTTGCTGCTCGAAGCTCGAAGGACCATAGAGAACGGTTGGTTCTTCCTTTACCCCCATGTCTTACCCCGCTGGGTGTACCTAGCTATTGTACAGTTGTCTGACGCCTGATTCCCTTATTTATAGATCCGAATTCCGCTTCTATCACTCTTGCAAAGCTTCAAAATCCGATCAAAGCCTCGTTTGAAGCCACAAATAACGACCTAAAGGAAGGATATAGCGGATTGAATAAATATACAAAAGCACTGGACAAGGTTGGGAATACTCGACTAGGCTGTCTACGTATTTAGAATTATGCGGAGGAATGCTAATTGTCTTATTCTAAAGCTATTCAAGGACAAGCCTTTGCCCACTACCGAATATGACTCCCTATCGCAGCCGGCTTTGGTTAACAGGGCGGTGGCCATGCACCTTCTACGAGAGGGGGCATTTTCCACGGCAGACACGTTTCTAGCTGAAGTATCGAGAACACATGCAGAATCAGAGTTAGATACAGCCATGGGACAAGCCGAACAACAGGCGTCCGAATCTATTCCAGACATCGAAGGTCTACGGTCTGGTGAAATCCGAAGCCAGTTCCTCCTCATGCACGAGTTGCTCCATGAACTCACAGAAAATCGAAACCTTCTTCCCGCTATTGAATGGGCTCGGAACCATCGCGAAGCCTTATATGTTCGAGGGAGTAACCTTGAATTCGAACTTTGCCAACTTCAGTTTGTATGGCTCTTTCATGGAGGAGGTGAGGCCGGCATTTCCGTACAAGAGGGAAGGCTAAAGGCGTTGGAATACGCCAGACGCGAGTTCTCTGGCTTTCAGGGACGTTATCTTCCGGAAATTCAACAACTTTTGGGTGCTATGGCTTTTGCGCCTAACCTTGGAGACTCTCCCTATAACACCATATTTAACAATCCCGATTCCTGGGATAGGGTTGCAACCTCCTTTAAAGGCGAATTCTGCGCTTTACTAAACCTCTCAGCTGAATCACCTTTATACGTCGCTGCCACAGCAGGAGCAATCGCTTTACCGACCCTTCTAAAACTCCAGACAATCATGAAAGAAAAGCGAACCGAAT